TGTAAGAGAGAGAATAGGTGGGGTTTCCATATTAGAGAGAGGCGAGAAGAGGGAATAAGAATGTAACATGCAGGAGATGAGAGAATAAACGGATCTTCCCCCCATTCATGCAGGAGAAAAGAGAGGTGAATTTGGACTTGGGTGATTTGAATTCTGCATAGAAGAGAGTTGAACTTGGAATTTGGAATTTGGAATTTGGAGTGGGGTGATTTGATTTTCGCATATTAAGGAGATAGAGAATGAAAATAACATGGAAAAGTACCAAAAGGAAGGAACTATAGAGCCAAAGTATTTGATGGATGTAAAGGACAAAAATTTAACCCTCTTCTTAGAGGGTGCATGAATGTAAATGACTCCAAAGGACCAAAATTTTGGCTTCTCCTAAACAGGTTTCATGAATGTAAATGGCTCTAAAGGACCAAAACTTAGGCCCCTACTTAGAGAGTGCATGAATGTATAGTGGAAAAGAATGGGTATTCCAACTCTTCTCATGCCACCCACTGATCTTCTCATCACACTCCCATCTGATTCCTAATTTGGGTCGAAGTTAGGGGATCCCTTAAGTTACACGTGCCAAAGCCGCAACTTTTGGCATGAATGAACATTGCTGGAAAATCTATGTCAATTTCTCAAAAATAAAAAGCAATTCTTGATTTGATAGAGTAGGCTGCTTTGTTTTCCACTTCCCACAGAGCAATTGCTTTTGCGTACAAAAACCTTATCTTAAAAAACAAAAACACACCTTCTGCCAAGTGCCAACAACCTCAGCAAGTCAGGAAAAAGAAAAAAAAAACAGCAAACTAGATAAGCTTCGGACACACAATTCACTGTCACTTTTCCAACTACTTTTGTCTTGGGTTCTTTTCATTTTCTTACAAAAGTAGCTCAACTTCAGTTATTCTAAACACAGAATAGAACAATTTATAAAACACAGCCTCATTCCAACATGTTTTCATAAGTTAACCTTAACCAACTCTAAACTCTCTCAAATTTGTTTTGGTTAATTGTTGGATGGTGAGGGAATCTTAGTCGAGCAGTCATACCTAATTATTCAACAACTTGGGCTGGATTTAAGATTCCCATTCTCTTTCGAGGGATTATTCCATGATCACGAGAGAGGAATGTCAAATACCCAATTTGAAATATTATATTTGGGAAAACGTAACTTTGCAACTGTATGGTTTCAATGAGTTAATTGGGTTCCAATTTCCAAACAGCCATTTTGAAGTCAAAATTCAGGAATATGATACAGCTCACACTATTGATTGCCCATCATTTATTACTGTTTGAATCCCATAATCATGTTGGCCCCTCCAAGAAAGCCAATGAATGAAACGGCCACTATTTGTGAAAGAAAATATCAGAAACGAAACGGAGAACAAGAGGCCAAAATTAGATAAAGGGATAGAAAATTTTCCATATATCCTTCAAAATATACCATTAAAAGGGCATCTGACCAGAACACAACTCCTTCAATTCTCTCAAGTCACTGGAAAAACAAGAAAAAAAAAACTCCAAACCATGGAGGCCATGGATATTGAGAAATTATTCCATATGACTGGTGGAATTGGCAACACTAGCTATGCCAAAAACTCCCATCTTCAGGTCCTAATTTCTCACTAGTTTTTCTTCCTTCTTAATGTTCTTTTTCGGCCTTTTCCTTTTCTTGTCCGTACTATCTTCTCTTTCTCTTTTTGTATTCTAATGGCTAAAACATGAATGTAACAGAAGAAAGCATCAGATATGGTGAAGCACATAACAATGGAGGCTATACAGGAAGCTTACCTTTCCACCGGCGCTCCGACCAGCTTCGGCGTCGCCGATCTGGGCTGCTCCTCCGGCCCCAATTCCTTATCCATCATCAAAGACATAATCCAAGCCGTTCAATCGCTGATCTCCGGCCCCCCCCGCCCACCGCCGGAGTTCCGAGTCTACCTCAACGACCTTCCGACCAACGATTTCAACTCAATCTTCAAGGCCCTGCCCGATTTCTGCAGAGAGCTTCAAAACGAAGGGGAAAACCCTTCCGGATTTTTCATAGGGGCTTATCCAGGGTCGTTTTACCAGAGACTTTTCCCCAATAACTGCTTGCACTTCGTTTATTCCTCTTACAGCCTCCACTGGCTCTCGAGGGTTCGCCGTTCGCCCCCATTTCCTCCTTCCCCCATTTTTGACTTGCTCTGCAACTTTTTTAGGTCGAAAATCGCTTAAAATTTGGGGATAATCGTTGCTGCAGGTTCCCGATGGTATTTGCGATGAATTGGGGAAACCGATAAACAGAGGGACGATTTATATTTCCGAAGCAAGTCCCGGTGCGGTTGCGGAGGCTTATGTGCGGCAATTTCGGGAGGATTTTTGTGTGTTTCTGAGGAGGAGGGCGGAGGAGGTGGTTTCCGGCGGCCGTATGGTGCTGATTTTGCTCGGAAGGGACGGCGCCGATCATGCCGATCGGGGAAACTCCTTCATGTGGCATCTTCTTGCAAGAGCCCTCGCCATTTTGGTCTCTCAGGTAGTTCAATTTTTCTAGTTGATCTTTTGAATTCCGAGATGATGTTTTTGTTATTTATTTATTCATGTTTTTAAAAAGTTTCCGAAACAAATATTTTTTTAGTGAAAACAATAGGTTTATATAAATATATATATACTTGTGTGTGTATGAATAAAATTTTGATAACCGATAGATTTAGATGATTAGAAATATAGTTTTGTTTATTTTTCATTTTTACCATTTATTTTAAGTTTTAGGTTTTCATTATTTCTTCATTTTTTTTTGTCATCAAATTTTGATAGTTCTAGTTTTTATTTCAAAATTTTTGAGATTTTATGTTAGAAATAATATATTTAGATATAATAAGTTTGGGTCATATCAAATCTATCAACTTTCATTGATTAAGAGATCATTTAAAAAAAAAAATAATGAGAACCAAATCTTGACCTAGAATTAATCATAATTTTGAAAGTTGAAAGTCTAGGAAGAGAAATGGGCAAAAATCTAGGAATAAATATTAAAGCTGAGTTTGATAACAAGTTTGTTTTTAAGGATTATGTTGGATTTCCTACCATTTATTTGATAGGTTTTTTTCACTTTTTCTTAAAATATATTTGAATTTTGAATTAAACTTTAAAAATAAAAATAAAATTTTGATTATCAAATAGTACCTAAAATTTAAAAAATTTAGCGATGGAAATGAAAAATAAGTAAATGATCATAAATTATAACTAAAAGAAACCAACTAAAACCCCAAACAAAAACCTTAAAGACACACACATTCAAATATCTCGAGCCTTGTTAGAGAAAATTTAATTGTTAGCACCACTTTTAAATTTTCTTTTTAAGTGTTCATATTTACAAAAATAATTATATGTTTTGACATATCAATAGACAATAATTTAAATAAATCATAATACATTTGTATGAGTAATATAGTTGATATTTTGACTAGGGAGAAATAAAGGAAGAAAAGTTAGATAGCTACGATGTGAATTTCTATGCACCAAATGAAGGAGAGATAGAAGACGAAGTGAGGAGAGAAGGGTCATTTTGTTTGGAGAGAATAGAGAAATTTGAGACCGAGAAGAAGGGGAAGAATAATGGAGATGAAAGCTATGGGAGAGAAGTTGCTAAGGCTGTGAGAGCCATCCAAGAGACTATGATTTCTCACCATTTTGGTGATGCAATTTTGGACTCTTTGTTTGACAAATATGGAACCATTTTGGATGAGGAAATGGCCAAACAAGAAATAAGACCCATCTCTTTTGTCATTGTTCTTAGGAAATTGTGAACAAAAACCAAAAAAGAAAAAAAAAATGTTCCATTTTTAGCCCACATTTTTATGAAATTGTAACTCAATTGATTATTATCATTGCATCTCGTCTTTCTGATTTGGTCAAATCTTACGAGTGTTGACTGTGATTATTGTATTGAATATGTGACGTTCTTTTCATGTGATAATGAGTCGATGTTTTCAATTTGATTGATTATGGTAGCTAAGTATCTTTATATTTTATGGTTGAGTAAAAAAATACTTGAAAATGAGTGGGTTCTTAGTGAACCAATATTTTTCTATTCAGCCATCTCCATTTGTTTTTAAGATCAGTAAAAAAATGCTAGACAATGAGTATGTTTTATAGAAAACAATTTGAGAACCATTAATAGGATTTAATCAAATTACCACATTGAAACTTTTAAAATTATGCAACTAAATTGAAATAAAGCTTTGATTTGGGGTGAAATTGATAATTTTACCATTTTGAACAACCAATCAAGCATGGCAGTACAATATGGATTAGAGTCAAAAGTCATAAATTGCAATGATAATTCTCACTAAAATGGAGTGCAAGCATGCAAACCTAATAAAGGGAAATATATAATTAAAAAAATTAGGTAAGAAAGAAATGAGCAATTTGCAAAAGAAGAAAAGATTTCAACAATTTTCTTGAGAACTATCAAATATGGTCAAAACAGTAAGCTGAAAATGTAGGTATTGAGACTGTGTTTAAACTTTCAAACATTAAAAGTTAAATAAACTGCTAATATGAGATTAAAACTTCCGACTTATTAATTATATATATATATATACAGCCTAACCAATTCGGTGATGCTAATGTAACCTAAAATTTACTAGATATAAATGTTTGAAATTAAATTGTTTGTTGACTTGAAAACTTGCCAGGTAACAAATTTTATTTTCAGTTTAATAATTCTAAAAGTTCTTTGGTCTTATAAAAGTTATTCATAAATATGTTTTCTTTGTTTAATGTGTACTCTTAAAAAAAAAAAAAAAAGAAAAAAAGAAACATTTTACAAGTCTTATTCAAATAAACTTAGCTAGAATTTTTTCAATGTTTTTTAACACTTAGATAGAAAATAAGCAAAAATTTTAGTTTTCTTTTTGGGCTAGCTTACCATCAATATGCAGAATGCCCTCATTGCCATATAATATTTGGGCTGGATTTTTAAGAAATTGCAATTCTAATATATCATTTATCATAGCACGTATATGACTTGATCATTAAAGTTGTTTTGATTTCACACTATGCTGTGTGCTGGCGCCCTGATCCGAGTCCCCATGTCAGCTCTTCTCCATATTAGTTGAATTGCTTAGGTGGTTTATCATATTTTATAAATCATCCAACATTTTATTTCACTTATAACTTTAATCTTCATACCTTTTATTAGTTTTTAACTTTTTCATTCATATAATTAATTACATTTATTTCACTTTTGTTTTGGGCCTTTCTAAATATATCATAGTTAATTGGTTAAGATAATCTTTTCTTTCAATTTTCCTACTAAAAATTTAATTTAATAAAGGAAATGAAAAATGTTCTTATCAAACTTTTTTTTAGTAGATTTGAATTTCGAACTTACGACTTTTTACTCGAAAATAGGTGTCTTAATCAGTGGAACTATGCTCCAATTGACTTCTCAAACCTCTTATATTAAAAAAGGAAAAAAAAAAACTTAGTATCGTTGTAAATATTAACAACATAACTTAACTTTTTTTTTAAGTAGATCAACCTTAATCCGATATTCAAAATTATTCACTTCTTCCTCTTACTCCAAAGCTAGGGTTTAATTGTTTGAAAAAAAAAATGGGAAGGTTTTCAGAGAATATAGTGCTTTACTTAAATTCTTCATAAATAAATATATTTTCTATTAACATATACCGACAGCTAGAACAACTTACACATATTTTGTGCTGTCTTTTTTATTACATAATTTATAATGCTCAACATGTTTCAATTTACGAGTTTATACTTTTTCAAAAAAAAAAATAATAATAATAATAATTTTCCGAGTTTATTTTATAAAAAAAAATCAAGAGTATTTAGGACTTGTTTGGTAATATTTTGATTTATTGTTTCTCATTTCCAATTTTCTTAAGAGATCTAAGTATTTTTCAACTAACTTTGTTTATTATTTCTCCTTGTTTGGGAACATTCTCAAACTTGTATAGAAATTTTGGAAACAACCGAAACTAGTTTCTCTTTACTTGTTCTAATTTCCAATTTGTTCTGAAACATAAATAAAATGATTGTTTTATCATACTTGTTCTAAATACATTTTTCTTCATTCAAAATAAAGAAATAGAAAGAAAGAAATAGGAACGTTACTAATTTTTTTCTTTTAATTAAATTATTTTTCTTCTTCTTCTTCTCCATTTTTTTAAGGAATTTTATGGTTTTTTTTTCATATTTTAATATGGTTTTTGACAGGAATAAATGAGCTTTAATTAATCGATTTTACTGGGGTACGTTTGGAAGGGAAATTTCAATTTTTATGTTAATGATACTTGAGAACTTGGAAATCTAGACAACCAAATGTCTAAGAATATTATTGAAGAATATTTATGGTTTTCTTCTAGTGAATTGTAGATGGGAATTTAATAATAGAACTTGGGAATAAAAGATATTTATATTTGGCATTTGCCTTGTAGAATCGATTCCACTTTTTAATAAAATTATCGTTTATTCCAATAATGCCATAACTTATTATTAATTAGCTCTACAGATATATATATCCATTACCCCATTTAAAATTTCCGTTAAAAAAAAGTTAAATTAATATTTCATCCGTAAGTCAGTTTATAATATTTATTAAATTTAGCCTATAAACTTTAATATTATTACGTAGGTCTATTTAGTATTTAATCCCCAAGCTTTAAATTTAACAAACGAAATAGTTTTTTAACGCTCGATCAAATTTGACTATGGACTTTGCCATATAATTTACAAGATCATGAAGGTGAGTTGTTAGGCATACCTTCTAATTTAAGTATTTTTCTTTTTTTGGAAATAAAATCTTAAAAAATTGTTTTATTAAAATATTAGTGTGTTTGGTTACATTTTCTTAAAAGCAATTTTAATTACAAGGTTTGTTTGGTTGCACTACGTCTCTAAATAATTCCACAAAAATACCGAGTTATCATTAAGTAATTCCCTATTAATCAATTTAGAATCAATCTTTTTTGGCAATAAACTTTAAAGTGTTTCCTTAATTACAAAAAAAGAAAAAAGAAAAAAAGATTTAAAACCATGTGATTTTTTTTTTCGAAACAATTTAAAACTTTAAAAGTGATTTTTATTTGTCACTCTAAATCTTAAAAAGAAAAAAAAAACTTTTTGATCACCCTCCAAAATCACTTAGGGGTTAATCCAAACGTGCTTTAATTAGATCAAGATAACCTCATTTGCCACCCATAAATGCTTAAAGTACGGTATATATCTCTTCTAAGGGTTTGTAGGTTCGAATAATCATATCAATGGTATATGTCGAACTACAATATATATATCTCAAAACCCGATTAAATATATCAACAACAAGATTCACACGAAAAACGTCACATGGACCAAATTAAAGTGGTACTAAAAAAAGCCATTACTTTTTCCAACCATTGGATTGGATCAAAGTTGAAACCCCATAAACCAAACCCCATGAAGGGGAGGAGAAAAATGGAAGTGATAAAATGACCTTTCCAATATGCAAATAGATAAAGGAAAAAAGAGGGTGTTATCATCAAATTTTCAAAGAAACTTTATATTTTAGAGGATTTTGTTCTGAACAAAGTCTCTTTTTTAGAGGGAAAAAAAGCTCTTCCAAGTTATGGATAAGAACAAGTTGCATGCTACTTAAAACAATATTAAAGCAAAACCCTAAACCTACAAAACATTTCAAAATACCCAAAATCTCTCCCTAAGAACTCTCTTTTTCCACTCAAAACCCTCGAAGACCTTCCAAAACAAGTAGAAAAAAAAAAGAGAGAAAAAGTTCTTGTGGTGTCATTAGTTGATGAAATATTTATTAATAAAATTAAGAACTTTTGGGGTAATAAAATTAGAGTAATTAATTAAGAATCCCTAATTTTATTTTATTTTTCATTAGAATTCCATTTGACACCCATTTCTAAACCACACCCAAAATGTAATCATGGTGGAAGTAATGATCACCGTCTCCAATAAAGGATAGAAAGAGAGGGAGAGAGGAAAAACAAAAAAGAGTAAGATTTTATTTTTTTTTATTTTGGATAAAGTAAGAGGAAGATTAAATGGGAAAAAAAAGTTAGAAGTTAAATTTGGCAAAGTTAGCCAAAATATATATTAAAGCAGGATTTTTGGTATGTCATGATCAAAAATCCAAACTCTACATCTTGGAAATGAACTAGACTGAAATTTTTCTCTCCCTAAAGATTCTATTAAAGATAGAAAGGGAGAGAAAAAAAATCTCTTTACATATAAAGATTATCAAATTTCTAAAATCTTACTTATGGTTTACAATATAGTCTACATTTAAGATTTAAGTTATAGTTTTAACTTATGTATTTTTTAAGATAAAATATTTGGTTCATTTTGGTGAGCTCGAGTTGCTCTAACAAAAAGGTCAAGTTCGGGTCTCCTAATCTTTACATATTACATAAACCCTCACCGAAAAAGGTAAATTCAGCTACTTTTTACAAATCTTGTTCTTACTACCATTAAATATTTGACAAGTCAATTTTAAGAAAATAACAAATATTATAATGATAGAAAAAATTATTTTCATCCGTGTACTTAGCCGAGTTAATTTTAAGTCTTCAGTTATTGTTTTTTTTTTTTTTTTTATCTCTCCCCCTATAAATCCAATTGAGCTTTAAACTTAAAATACTCCTTTCTTAATCAAAATAGAAAATTACCTTAATCAAATCTAGTCATTAAAGCATTAAAGCTTCGAAAGCCTAGCAATTTTGGAAGGTCTCCTAGCATTGAATCAATCCCTTGTCCTAGAAGCTGGAATCAAAATTGAGGTGGATTCGAATTGTCTGGAAGCTAGTTATGAACATCATCAATAAATCATCCATGGCATTCACCAAAGCTTCTCTAATTGTTGAAGACGTATGGAAAGAGGTGGAATCCTTACCAATTGAAGGATTCAAGCATCTGCCAAGGAAGGCTAATAGAGTCACTCATGGGATAGCAAGGAGAGCGTGCGAAGAAGGATTCTCGTCTTCGTGGAACCAATTTTGCCCTACGTGGCTGTCTGTATTGTTGGTCGCTGATTGTGTTTAATTTTGTTTCGTTGTTCTGTTTCAAAAGAAAAATCTAGTCATTAAAAAAATTCTCAAACCATACTACAGAGTTATCTAAACCTTGCTACAAAATCAAGAACTCAAACCATAAATTACCCAAATTTCAAAATAAACTTAGAACATATGTATTTAATGAAATTCAAACTTTAAGATTAAAACTAAATCTCTTAACTAAGGACGATGATAAAAATGAAACAATTGCAATTAAATTTAAAAATAACAATGTTTTTGCAACGCAACCTATATGTACCTATAATATATTTTAGTACAACAAATATATGGATGAGAAATTGAACCTTTGACGTTTAGGGGAGGAGAATACGCGATAATTGTTGAGCTATACTTACGTTGACTTTATCTAAAGACTCTTTTTTAGTATAACATATTGGGATGAGAATTCGAACTCACGATCTTTTTTATCAAAAATAAGTATCTTAATCGGTTCAACTTACTTCTATTTACCAAGAAATTGATCATAAGAAAATGGAATGAAAAATTATTAACAAAAAGAAAAAGTAGAAACTTTGATGACAATAGGATGCAAATAAATAATTTATTGATGATTGGTGCTCTCTTTCTATGTGCATTAATGCACTTGCCCCAAGAAAAAAGGGAGCAAAATAAAAGTTAGTGTCAGTGGTGATTTGATAATCAAGAATGGAAATATATATTGTTGTGTTTTGTTGCTTAATCATTCAAGTCTATTGCTTTTAAAATCCTATGAACTCTAGGTCAATAATTTATCAAACTATATGGTTTTATTTCTTGAATTTGATTGGTGACCTACCATTTCCAAACTTAGTTTAAATAATATCATATATTTGTCTCTTCACTAAAGATTGTGTATTTAATTTTCACCCATTTATTTACTTTACGATGTAATAGTAAAAAAAAAAAAGAAAAACAAACAATTTGATATCTTATGAAAAAATTTAACATTTACGTTTATTTTTTAGTCAATTAAAAGAGATCAGGTATGAGTGTTTTTCTACAAGGTAGATTTTAAGCTTTTGGTTGTATTTTATTTTTTTAATTAGAAAAATAAAGTTACCTTCCATAAAATAATAAACTTCTATCTAAAATTTTTTTTTTCATAAAATAAGTATGATAACTATTTGAAAGCCTCTAAAAAGTATTATTGAAAGAATTGTTCTCTTGTATTTCTTAGATTTTTAAATTGAACATGTCATATTATTGTGGCATATATATTTGATAGGTCTATTTAGTGACTAAATGAGGCTATCATCTTCCAGGTTTTAAATGTCGATGTCACATGGAAATGTAGAGGTCTTAATTTCATAGAAATATCGATAAAATGTCGATGTCGATGAATATTTCTATAAAGGTTAGAGAAATTAAAAAAATCGTAAAAATTATTTAAATTAACAAATAAACATTTTCTTATTTTTAAAATAAGTTAAAACTAATTAATATTAAAATTATATATATTAATGATATTTTGTTGATATTTTTCATATTTTGTAGATTTTTTTGTACTAGGATGAAAATGTCGATTTACTTTTCATGTCAATGTCGAACTCATGAAAATATGGACATGAAGATGGAAATGTCAACGTGTCGACGAATATTTATGACCATTTTCGCTTCCAATTTCTTTGCTTTATAATATATTTTAAAAAATGTAGCTAAATTTTCAAAATTTTATTTTTGTTTCTTAATTTTGATAGAGAATTCTAAATTACTTATAAAAGCGTAAAAGGTCAAATAAAAAATTTATGAGTAAAGGAACATGATTTTTTTTAAATCAAAAGATGAAATGAGCTAAAAATCTTCTTACATGTATAAAATTTTACATGCTAACTTTTTAGATAAATAAAATATTTCAAATCATGAAGATATACAAAGTCAAATTAAGAGAAAATTACAAAATTTTAAATATTTTAATATATAGTTTTTAAATTTTAAAAGAATTATCTTCCTACTTCTTTCTTTGCTCTGCCCCTAAAAACAAGGCATAAAATCTCAACCAATTTCAAGTTTTCGAATCATTTTAAAATTTCATAAAGTTTTAAAGAACACCTAAGTCTTTAGAAAGTTAAAAATTTTGATACAAAAAAACCTCCGAAAATGAATTATTTTTGGGTTGAGATCATAACTGGAGTTTCTTTTTTTTTACTAAAAATTATATACGTTTACCGTTGTTCTATATTTATGGCATAATTAGAGCTATAGTTCAACTTG